TGATGGACATTATACTTTTATTTGCCAAGCGTAACAATTAAAATTTTAGTCAAGACATCGGTAATTTCAATACTTAAGATCACTCTTAAGAGTAATTGTTTGAAAAAGTGTGTTGGATATAATTGCAAAGCCCCACTTTTGGAAGCCATTGTTCCAGTGTACCAAATCCATCATATGCACTCTTAAATCAAGCTAACGTGCCAATTTGGCATCATAGAAACTACTCTCATCAAATTAAGCACAGCAGAAGCCAAAATATTTGTCTTTCAGTAGCTACATTATCTAGCACATTGGCATAACCAAAGTACGGTTTTGTTTAAAAAACAGGTCAAAAGATAGTATTTCTCTCACAAAACCAATAATTCAGTTGTTGTTTGGAGATGATGAAAGCTATTCCATGCATGAGACTGCCAAGGAACTGAAGATTTCGCAATACTGTTTTGAAAGAGGAGCGCAAACTGGGTCTAATCAAGGCAGAAAAACCAGTGCAAAGCCAATAAAGGACAAGTAAATTAGAATCTCTTATTTGACAAAGATGCTCAAGGGTCCTCAAGTGGCAACTTTATTTACCATCAAATATCAGTACCTGCAACAGAGAATAAATCACCCCTGGGTCCTATTCAATTTTTCAGGCCAAGGCATATAAAAAAAAGTTTTCTTCCAAAAAAATGGAAGGAGTTTGCCATTACTCCGCATGTGTTGGGGGTGGTAAAAGAACTAACATTGTTACATTGTTTTATTTATTGGGGGGGATTTTTCTCCCCTTTTTTTCCCCACCCTGACCACAACCGAACGGTTCAGTCCACAGCACCGAACAGCTCTCATTGACTCAGGAGGAAGATGCGATGGCACGCGATTTCTCTGACTCAAATAACGACGAGCCCTTGCTTCGTTACACTGGGAAGGCACACGGCCAATTAAGCACTCCCTTTGTATGTATTCGGCTCGCAGTGCAAAGAGCATGGCCAGGAGTAGCTGCTAGCCAGCGACGAGATCCAAAATTCTAACCGGCTTTTTACCGGCAAGGGTGGGGGAACTGTTGCATCGCCAATGCGGGCCTCAAGCCATAGACAGTAATGGTGTGGCTGGGATTTGAACCAACATCTTTGCTGTGAGCTGAGGCTCAGAACAGACATTACTGACATGTAACTGAATGTCCTACCTTAATCATCCTTGACAGGTCTCCGGCATCAGCAAGCTCCAGAACAATATTCAGTTCATTCTCTTCAATGAAGGATGCATGGTATTTAATTACATTGGGGTGGTTCAGTTGCTGTAAAAACAATACAGGAGGTATTCCTACATTTGCAGTACATTCTTGGTCAACAAACTTTACTAAACATTTGAGAGAAAATAATTACAGGTGCTCTTTTGTATGCGAACAGTGTAATTGCTTTTTACACCAGCAAACAATAAACCAAACGCAATTCGCACAGAATACATCGGAAGTACATAGCTTAAATTACACATCAAACAAATGTGCATTTTACTTGTTACTTAATGAAATGTAAATGTCAAGAGTGGCTAAGTAATAAACTGGTGTGAATTTGTGTTTCCCAGGGCAGATAATTGTGTCTAATAAAAGCAGAACTGTAGTAAAAGTCTACTTTTTTCTCTGCTGGGAGACCAAGGAGTTACAGCATTCATGAAAATGAAAAGAAAATCATGAAGAAACCAGAGAGTATTTCCCACATCAGATCCAATGAACCATGAGAGCAGATCCAAACCTTCTTATCGATAACCTCATAGCATAATTACCAGTCTCATTTTTTAAGGTTTTTATTTTATCTTATTTTACTATTATTTAAGAGAATGGATTTTATTTTTAAAATTCTCTTAAGGTTTTGAATAAAGGAAAAAACTCAATTTTTTGCCTGCACAAAAGAACAGGCAACCGATACCTCAACTTGGAAATTATGCCATGAGGCTAACAATATAACGGCTGTGGCTAATTTGAAGTGTTAACCCCTTAAACTCTAACTTTCAGGAAGGTTTTACCTTGAAAAGATTCAAAGTAAGAAAAAATGTTGTATTGTAGGACAATTTCAAGTACATATTCTGTATCTGCAGATCACAGCACTTCACCTCAGCTAAATTATACTTATATTGAGAGAAATATTCAAACCCAAGATGCCGTGTTTTTATGGCCACAGCATTATACCAAATGGAAAATATCTAAATCTCGTAAATCGTTTTATGAACTTATCCGGGGAATATTTGGGATTGATGGAAACCTTGGGATCTCCACAAGAATTTAAAATATGGTTTAAGTTCCACAGGCTTGTATACAGCAGCTGCATTTGACAGATCCATACATGGGTCCATAGGTTTTATGGGGTTAAATACTTGCAGTACCAATTGACTTTGTACACACAAACATTTTTCAAGCAAACTAAGGTTAAAAATAAACACCTTTAATTGTACAAAAAGATTTGCATATATAAATCTAACACTTCTCAAAATAACCACCATTTGTAATTACGGAGTCGCTGTACCCATATTTCACTTGTAAGGACAGACATAAGGTTTTGAGAGTTCACACCAGCACAGATGTGATGAGCATGCAGCATGCTTCCCCTTAACCTTTCTATCTCATAAGTTAGGTATTTCACTGAAGAAAAATCACTTAAATTCCACCTAATACTGAGAACTATGACATGAGTAAAGTGTGTCCAAACTTTAGACTGCAAGTGTACAACGCCTAGCCTCACAGACAGCACTAAACACATTAACTCCATGAAGTAACCGAACATCTGAATCACATAGTGCAGGCCCAAAGAACTTGGAGAGTGGTAATGTATAAAAACAGCTGCAAGGCTATACATGGTTCTCATGATATGGATATAAAAGCCACTAATTAACCCCGAAAGTGCTAAATATTTACTCACCCTATCCCTCCAAAATTCAATCATTCATTATGTAGTTGACAAGTGACCTTCAGAGGGACTCAAAGGTACCTGTAAACCCTTCTGAAGGTCATTGCCAACTAATGTGCCAACTAAAAATTGACAAAATTGTTGACCATTTGAAAGCTGAAATCTGAAATTTTGCTTAGTTTATTTTGCGCCTTGCATGACAACAGCAGTGATTAGAACTTTAAAGGTTAACGTCTACTTGAACCTCATATTCATCATTTTAAACTGCAATCTAAAATTTTGTGAACTGTCCATATGCTTATGGAAAGGAGAAATTCAAAAATTACTGGACGTATGTCGATGGTGCGCCATCGCAAATCTCCGCGCTCCGCAACGAATGTTATGGGAGTAGTAGTAATGAGTCAGAGGGCAATTCACTGAACTGGCACTCTGCTGTACAAATCCTAGCTCACTGCATAAAGGAGATATGGCCATTTTTCTTTTTTGACAAAAAGCCAAAATATGAATCACAGGACGGCAATTTTTGGCATGCAGGTTGCTATCACCAAGATACAACCCCAATTCTGAAATAGTTGGGACGAAGTGGAAATTGTGAATAACATCAAAATGCAATGACTTTCAGATCACATGACCCAATATGTTATTTACAATAGAACATAGATAACATTTCAAATGTTGAAACTGAGATATTGAAAAATGGCGATTTCTCAGTGTCCTGTGGTCAGACGAGTCTAAATTTGACATTCTTGTTGGAAATCATGGGTGTTGTGTCCTCCGGGCTAAAGAGGAGAAAGACCACCCCTCCTGTTATCAGTGTTCAGTTCAAAAGCCAGCATCTCTGATGGTATGGGGATGCATTAGTGAATATGGTGTGGGACACTTGCATGTTTTAAAAAGCACCATGAATGCTGAAAGGTATATAAAGGTTGTAGAGCAACATATGCTCCCCTCCGGATTACATCTATTCCAGGGAAGGCCTTATGTATTTCAGCAGGACAATGCAAAACCACATACTGCAGCTATTACAACAGCATGGCTTCATAGTAGAAGAGTCCGTGTGCTGAACTGGCCTGCCTGCAGTCCTGATCTTTCACCGATTGACAACATTTGGCGCATAATTAAACGAAAAGTCCGTCAAAGGAGACCCAAAACTCTCAGTGGCTGGAAGACTGTATTAAACAAGAGTGGGATCAAATTCCAATGGCTAAACTCAAGAAAATTGTCTCCTCAATGCCCAGACGCCTCCAATCTGTTTTAAAAAGAAGAGGGGATGCTACACCATGGTAAACAGGCCCCTGTCCCAACTTTTTTGAGACCTGTAGCAGCCATCAAATTTGAAATGAGCTCATTTTGTGGATAAAATTGTCAAATTTCTCAGTTTCAACATTTGATATGTTATCTCTGATCTATTGTGAATAAAATACTGGCTGGTGTGATTTGAAAGTCATTGCGTTTTGATTTTATTCACAATTTACACTTTGTCCCAACTATTTCGGAATTGGGGTTGTATATATCCATAGCAATTTGCAGCCTTCTACATTGAGTAATAACAAAACATGCCATCCTTTTCAACGATTGGCAGACCTGACGCCATTTGACCTAGAAAATGGTCAAAATTAAGTCAAATCAAAAACCCGTCTGATATGTGATGAAGGGTCATCCCCTGCACCTCCCATAAAAGTTTGAGCATCCTAGCTCAATGCATAAGGAACTTATGGCCATTTTTCAATTTTCACAAAAAGCCCCCTGGTGGCCAGAAGAGGAAATTAATTTAAATTCTAAATGCGTTGTGCACCCCTCTGGGTCACTACCTTACACAAACCAAAGTTTCAGGTTGATTAGTCTAATGGCCCAGGAGGAGTTACTCTTCGGACTGACAGACGGACAGACGCCGAACTATATTACAAGATCTCATCACTTTTCGGAAGCGCGGAGTAATTAGGAAAATGGTAAATGGACTGCATTTATGTAGCGCTTTCTAGTCGCATGATATAACCCCAAAACGCTTTACAACTATGCCTCACATTCAACCTCATGGTGAAGGCTGCCATGCAAGGCGCCAACCTGCACATCAGGAGCAGTGTGGGGTTCAGCGTCTTGCCCAAGGACACTTTGGCACAGCTCTGGAGGAGCCGGGGATCGAACCGGGAACCTTCTGATTCCAAGGCCGCCCACTCTACCTCCTGAGCCATGCTGCCCCCATGTCATGCAAAATCAAATATCCCAAATTAAAGTAATGATGTAAAATAAAATAAATAAAAATAAAATAAACCAAATAAAATTTTAAAATTTTTTTACCATAATTTCAGAAAGACCCCCAAATTAGGCCATATTTTTTCTTCACATACATTGTGAAAAACATTCTGAAACACACAAAAAAATGCACGCAGTAGTACAGAGAGAAATTACTTGGAGAACGACATTTTTCCCCCCTCCCCTTGTTCTACGAGGAAAGTCCAACAATACATGAACTTCAGGAAGGCACCAGGCTATGAAACTGGAGTCTCATGATACTGATGAAGGAACACACACCAATAGCTGTATCCATACATTAATAGTTACATTCAAAAGATCCAGAGAATGCGGTGGAAAAAAAACATAGAGCCGGACTGTCTTAAAGAGGAAAATTAGTTAAGGCAGCAGTTTAACATTTTAAAGAGAATTCAAAGTTATTGCTCTGAAACACATTTTTAAACCATGTAGGGGAGTAAATCCTTTGACAATATATGTCCCTTCAATAAAATTTGTCCCAGCTGAAAACGATGACACACCATAAAGTGAGTAAATGCAGGAAGACCCATGAACTCTGATGTGACTGTGCCATGGCAGTCTCTCTCATTATTTTGATTTAAAGCTTTTTTTTTGCCGTGTTCGCTGAAGTAGAACACACAGCTTCAATTTCCCCTCCTGTAGCTTGTTAGCTGCATGAGGAAAGCTGGTGCGATGACTAAATTCATTAGCAGTCAAGAACAAGTCATTGTTTCAGGGACAGAAAGGAAGGAGGAGGACAGACCACAGTGACTTTCTCTAGCGCATCAGATTCCTGACTCCGTTACGGAGGGTAGCCCGTTGCTAAGACATGACCTGCTCCAGGTCCGGAGGGGGGTCCCCAGAGCCTCTCAATCCTCACCTCACACACACACACACATACACATACACACACTCGCACACACACGCACGCACGCACGCACGCACGCAAGCAGACACACACACGCACACATACGCATATCCCCTTCAGACTCACACACACAAACATATACGCAGCAACACACATAAAATCCCACTTTGTCATATTTAAATCAAATGTAATTTCAATACCAGACAATGACAACATGATTAAACAAAATTCAGCTTTTAAGTGATCATTTAATTTACTGACAGTAAAGAGTCATTCAAAATCTATCACCCACTTAAAGAAATTAATTTCTCCCCCAAACCCAATGACTGGTTGTACCATCATTTGCGGAAACTGCGATCTAAAGTTTGCGGTTACTGGCAATGAGTCTTTTAGTTCACTGTGGAGGAATTTTGGCCGACACTTCTTTACAGAATTGTTTCAATTCAGCCTTTTTGGTGGGTTTTCAGACATTAGCTGCTTGCTTAAAGGGGAATGTTATCACATTTTTTATAGGGCTATAAACTAAATAAAACAGTCACCTGTAGTCACTTTATTTTTGAGAATTTTTTCGTAATTTTGCGTTGACGCAATATCCCGAAATACGGTTTCAAAGTGCCTGATTTTCACCCTCTGTAAATCAGCCTGCCCATTACCCCGTGACGTCACACAGTGAGATAGCAAGACAAAAATACATTGTGGACAATACAGAAATGCATAGCGGCAGCTCCGATTCAGATTCAGATTTCAACGACATTAGCGACTCTGAGGATAGCACAAATATTGAAATTGATGAATGGAGATAAAACTGGTCACCTGCCGCTGGACTTAGCCAAATTTCTGAAAGCTGGACTCGGTCATTCTTCTGAGATGCAACCGGTCACCCGCCGTGGGACTTAGCTGATTTTCTGAAAGCAGGGGTCTGTTTCAATAAACTTTCCTTGTCCGACCGAGTCAGACCATCTGTCGAGTGAATAGTAGGACCTTCGACAGACTATGTCCGTCTGGTGTTTCAATAAAACATAAGTAGGATGCCTGACCATGGTCCGATGCGGGCGGACGGACAGTTTGTCACTGTCCGCTGGAAGTTGGATGAGAATTTACACCTCAGGGATGCACTGCTTCGCTATTTGCCATTCAAATATTCGAAATAAGTTAACGTGAAATGAAAAAAAGAAAAAAAAACAATTCTGATTAGGTACGTCATTAACTACTATTCAGACATAAATGAATGGCGCACATCGCTGTAGGATGTCACCTTCAATTTCAGTAGGCTATTAACTGAATACAGTCTAGCTAATTAAAAGCAGTCTTTGCTCACTGTGCACACTGTGCTAAAACTAAGATTGGAAACATAACAAAGCTATTCATCACACAAAGGACATTAAAACATTCATATCGTCACGATCGCTCATTTTACAGAATTGAGTTAAGCAGACGGGCGGTAAGCAGAGCTCCACTCTCGGTCACACAAGCACCACGAATACGGTGTTTTATAACCACTGAGAACCATGCCGAGACCGCTCCTTAGGCAATGTCCCATTAGTGTTCATGCATAAAAACAACTTTTTCTCGCACTGGAGGATAACGGTAACAACGATTTAAAAGTGAAATCTTCATGGGTTCTTAATAAATTATGTGTAGTTGTTAGAAAAATTCATTTACGGATTTAACAGAGCCCCTTTTCTGGGTGTAGGCTATATTGGTTTCGCGGGCATTGATTATACTGTTTTTCCATTCTTGAAATATTTTGGGCTGTCTGCGCTTCCAGACAACATTACTTTCTCCATTAATATTAAATTCTGAACTAGCTTTAATCGAAGCCCAGGCGAATGTCCCTCCTCTGGATGGCTTCCCACCGTTCGTGCGGACCCCACAAGAGCGCCAACTTTGCCTTTCATTTTCGGCCCCCAAAAGCGACCCATTCTCAGTAAGCATAGATCACCCAGAACATTACGACCACCGTAATTTTGCGTCTTTTGGCCACTGGTGTAACTTGAACCCATCATATCAGATAAGTCAATGCATAGCACAGATAGACAATTAAGTTAGGGCAAAACCAAGATCATATCGCTTTAATGACTCTTTAGCTAATGGCAACTAGCTGACTCACTGGATGGCTATACAATGTAAATAATAACTTCTTCTGTGATCGCATACAAAGCAGTGTCGCCCCCATGGCACAATCAGTAAGAGAGAAGTTCAGTTATTAAAGGAATAAGCCCCGAGAAGCAGTGGGTTACAGTGATTTTATAACGGCAGAGGGGCGTTCTAAGGCACGACGCGCAGCGGAGTGCCTTAGTGCCCCTCCGCCGTTATAAAATCACTGTAACCCACCGCTTCAAGGGGCTTATTGCTTTTATAAAACAGTTACCCTACATATAGCCCATTAAATAAACACACAAGAAAAAACTCAACAATTTATTGGTAATAATGCAACAATAAAATTGAGAACTATTCGTTCTTCCACCAAGCAAGATCGAGTGGACAGAATGGTTGGTAGCAACACAGACGCTAAGATTGCTTTTTTCATCTAAGCCATTATTATGTCACATCAGGCTATTTGGGCTCGTTAATGTAGATATACTATGAAAGCAGGCTATTTGGAATGTCTCCTTCGGTCTCCCGAAGGCCCCGTTAAATAATTTTACATTAGTTTTGGTTTCGGTTTTCGAGTTTCCTTGTTCTCAACTCGCGCCGATCGGCCATATCATTACAACTAGCAACGAGAGTAGGGAACAAGATTGACTTTTGTTCTCCACACTTGCCGGTGTCCAGGAAAATATGTTGAACTGTGCATTAATTTGCTAGCCCGCTTGTCAACTAGCTAGCGTTCACTACAATGGATGTGGTTACCCTACACATAGCCCATAAAATAAACACACACGAAAAAAATCAACAATTTATCGCTGACACTGAAATAGCGAGCTAGTTAGCAACGTAGCTAGCAAGCTAAAGTGACAGCGAACTCTTTAATGCTATAGCTAGCTAGGTAGATAGCCAACTGGTTAGCGGGTTCAAAAGGCTAAACTACGCTAACACTGAAATAGCGAGCTAAAAGTCTTGAAACAAACGTAACCGAACGAGTCAGTTGAGCGCAGAGTAGTTGGTTGCTAGGCCAGGCACGCAGGGATATTTTGTGCTGCGGTCTGCCTCAGAATACAGTGGGTTACACTGATTTTGTACCGGCATGGAACGCGGCTCAGCCAATTACATTTACGGATGGGAAGCACCCGTTTTATAATCCACTTTTATTAACAGTTTTCTTATAACGTCATCGGAGCTTCCAGCCCCTGAGAAAAGAAAGGCGTGAGAAGTACAGAATCATTATCGCTTTCGATGCTACTGCTCATGGTAAAATCTTTCTTAATAAACGACCTTGCGCAGCGAAAATCTCGGAGAGTGCACCTCTGATGTAGGTAAAATTTATCGTGGGTTTGACGTAAAATGATCCTAAACACTCGTGCTTTATATTTATATGGCTTGTGCACAGACATGAATATTGTTCTCACTGTGTCGGCACGCTGTCACATTTTATGTGTCATGTATTTTGCTGTTCCTTGTTGTTTTAAAGCTGCGTTCTTTTCACTTCTTACATTCGCTGCTGACTTTATGTTATGTTACATCTGATTGTGATATTGCGAGATTGAGAAACGTGCTGGTGGGCAGTTCACAGGGCCACTGATATTGAATCTCTGCATTAATCATGATTCACTTGTCGTGAGGAAAATTTGAGGACAGCCCCGTCTGAGCTTTCAGGCTTTGTCTGGGGTGCTGAAGTTGTTCGCGTAGAAACACTAAGCAATTACTATTGATGAATGTTTACGATATTCAAATATTCGCATTTATTCTGACTACATTTTATATGGGAATGAGGTTGCCATTATAACTGAGCTATCCATACTTATTGGGGGAGAGAAGCACAAGGGAGGCAGATGAGTTCGATTTGGGAAATAAATTTGCGGCCGGTGTACCATCAACGAACGTTAGTATCGCACCGAGTACATGTAGCATGAGTGTCACACACGGCCCATCGCGATCACTGTACATAGCCGTAGACAGTGCACGCTGGCTGTGTGGCTAGC